GGGATAGAAACCGGGACATCCCCTTGCCCGGGGGCATGGAAAAAAAATCCCCCGGAAGAATTGGTTCAATTTCAACTTGGTTCCCACGGGCAACCCCTTGGCCTTGGGGTTCACCCCCGAATTTCGCTTTAGGTGAAAATTTGGAAAATTTCCCAGTCCCCAACCGTTTTTTGGGGGGCCCCCGGAAAAGCCTTAAAGGGGGGTTTTGCCCTCACCCTAAGGGATTTCTGGCCTTTAAATTTTGAAATCCCGGGGTTGGGGGAAAATTTTTTTCACCCATTCCGGGGAAACCGGGGGGGGGGGGGGGGGGGGCAGAGAGACAAGAGAGAAGTGCGAAACTCATATTATACCACCGTGTACGCCGAGCGTTGCGTGCGTGCGAGAGAGTACGTTGCTCAGGCTAACCTGACGTCAACCTGCAGTTTAATAGTGCAGCGGACGTGTATGCGGATGCTGACGAAGGGTCGAGGAAACTTTAAGACGTTGGATGTGGCCAGCCCCCCCCCCGGTGTTTGCCATCGGGGTTGGGTTTTCGTCGCTTGGCAGCGATGTTGTAAAACATGCCGATTCACTTCGTGAGCTCGGCAACCGCGTTACCGTTTTTTTTTTTTTTTGCCTTTGGTTTTTTTTTTTTGCGGTAACCATGAATGGTGGTCGAGTAGATTATGTTGTGCGGGGGGTTCTCGCAAAGGGGATAATCGCACGTTGTGTTAAATTGACCAAGCACCCTCGAGGCAGTTACAAAGCGCTTACAACTGTCTCTGGAAGTGAAAGCGCCAGAAAGTAAATTAAGTCATACGCAGCTGTCATTCGTACGCAAGGAAGTAAGCACAAGATGCCGAACACCCTTAGCAGGATGCAGCGCACCCTTCATGCGACTCGCCGAATACCCCATGGCGCTTCGCTTCTTGGTGATGTGAGAGCCTGGTCCGGTGAGAACCCGGCGTGCTCCGTCCCGGCTTTGTAGGGATGCGAGGTCAATGGTCTAACGACTACGGCATGCACGACTATGAGTACCCCCCCCCCCCCCCCCCCGAATCTGTACCGTCGCCATTGTTGTTTGATGTTGTATGCTGAAGAGGGTCGCCGGTATTGCCGAGGTCACTTGATAACCGTTTCTGTTTCACCCTGCCTGCCTGCCTGCCTTCCTGTCTGTATCTCGTATGGCGTCTTCTCGGTGACTGCTTTCTTCTTTTGCGATGTATTGGGGGGCGGGGCCGCGGCGGGGGCGGCAGTCGTGCACGTGAAGGGCATCTTGAGATGCGTGCTGGTGACGGAGACCTCGGAGACGTTTCAGACGGCGGAGATTGACCAGCTGGGGTTGCTGGCCAACTTGCAGGCCCTTGTCGGCATCTCCACAGACATAAGTGAGCGGTTGTTTTGTCGCCACGGAGCTCTGTGAAGCGTACGTAGGCGGTTGTGTGTGGGGAGCACTGGACAACAGACACAAGCGTTGCCGTTGTATAGTCCATTACCCCCGCCTTTGTTGTTGGCATGGAACAAGAGGAATCCAAGATCAGACCGCTTGGATCAGGTGGTGCCTCCGACGACCGATCACCGTAACCCCACGCCCGATGACTGCAAAGCGTCTTGTCCCGCTCGAAACTGACATATTTTCATTGGTTAGCCGGATTGATAGATCGATCCTGACAACACAGACACACGCATGGGTTTCAACCGAACTGAGACTAACGTCTTGTCATTGGTCAGCCGGTTAGCGCGGTCGATGCTAGTAGCAAAGACACACAAACATGTGTTGGGGTCTTCTCCTTTTGCAATTTCTTCGAGTCCGGAGACTGGACCCTCCCTTACAACGTCCTCCGCGTGCTCCCTGCGGGGGGAGCCCGATGACTGGTATGCGTGCACCTTCTTTTATTCCGCTGTAAAACTGGCGTCTTTTTTTATTGGTCCTTCGGATATCGCGCTCGATTATGTCAAACAAGTACAAACGCAACACACGATGGCCTTACGAAGCGTTTCCCGTTTTCAGCCGCACTGAGGTTAGCGTCTTTTCATTGGTCAGCACTTTTTAGCGCGGCCGACGCAAATATTTATGACACACACACACATTTGCACGCACGAGGTTTTTCACGGATTATGCGGTGGTGGGGAGAGAACATTTGAGAATTACGACCTTGTCTCGCCCCGCAGAAGGAATGAAATTGAAATGATGCGCTTTGGGGGGAAAATGATCTACGTGCACGCAGAAGACATGTAGTCGACACTTCGAAGTATTATTGTTTTCTTCCTGTGTCTTGCCCTAACCTTTGTTTGGTTTTTACCTCTCAAGAGAGCTCCCATTTCGAGTGCGTTCTCCTTCGCGCACGTGTCCCCATCCCACCCCCCACTCCCACCCCCTTCGCCTCTCCCCCACCGTTTTTTGCATTTTTGCAGTGGCACAAGCGGGGAACGGGTGTGTGTCGATGTCGCTGGAGAGCAGCAGCAACTCTAGAATATTGATCTGGAGGATAGACGCGTGGACGCTAGTCATCGCCGTACACAAGTGAGTCTGCTGCTGCCTGTAGAACGGTAGGGGGGGTGATTGCTACACCACCGCTAGAACAACGGCCACTGCTGCCGTGGTAGTGGTAGAGTAGAGGGAGGGCATATTGGAAGGGTTCGTCTGGGAAGAAGTTGTGAGCAGCCCTAAATGAAACTGAGAGAGCAGCTTTCACGACGAAGCTGATTCTGACGAAACGACAGGATTTTTTTTTTTATCCTGCCTTGAGGAAGGACGTGTATTGTTTTCTTCGTTTTTTCCTACCGTTGTTGAAGCTCATGTTACGGGTGGACAGCAAGGCTCTCGATGGGCACTGACGTGTACTATTGCTTTCTTCCATGCACATGTACGGTAGTGCTGCTGGCGAATAGACCGGCTCGAACACAACGCTGTCCACGACTAGATGGAGCGCATACCGTATGTGCTTCCTGAGCAAGTCCCAACAGGTACTTTGGTTTCAGGTCCCCCCCCCCCGCCCCCG